TACACTCAAAAGCAAAAAGTGCTTGAGTACAGCAACCATTTTCATTTTCTTTTGAGGACAATGGAAATACAGGCTATGACTTGAGGTTAATATTTTGCAAATTAAAAAATAAAATCAGATAGATTAAGCACCAAGAAATATTTTTCAAGCACCATTATTCTGATCTACATATTTATTTTCCATTTAAACAATTGTAGCCTAATGTTCAGCCTTCATAAACTTCAGGTGGCCCAAAATGTTGCAACTGAAGTACTGACTGGCAACATTTTTAGGGAGTATATAAATATCTTGCTACAATAAGATGTTCTGAAAGACACTGAAAACCTGGCTATTCTCCCAGATCTTGGGGGAGGTTGTTTAATGAGTCCTGTAAGAATTTGTTTTGTCCTGTATTGTTTTTTCTGGACACAGAGCATCTGTTTCTCTATTATATGAATGAATATAAATAAACAAAAAGAGATTTGCTATTATTTGTGTTCAATATCCAGTTCCAAATACGACCGTCTTCCGAGTAAGACCACTTACTCTCATATACTATTCTCTCAGGATTTTAAGCTTTTCATCTGACAATTATCAAATGCATACTTAGGGAGATGAAGAAAAAACGTTATCATAATGCCTCCAGGTCTGGAGACTCTTACTTCAAAGATGAGGCTAGCACTCTTTCCCTCAAGAAATGATGCTAAATTTTTATTAATGAAAGCTATTTGTATTTAAGCAGATTCATTGGCTGAGTTTGGTTTATATTTGTTTATTTTTACTGATAAGTGTTAATTGTATTTTAATTGTTTGTCTATTTTAATTGTAATTCTGATTTAATTTTACTTGATGTATTTCATTATCATTAGCCACTTTAAGACTGTTTGAAGAGGAGAAATATAAAGTAAATAATTAAATTGCTGATGTCAGTTCAATTATTTTAACTTCTGGCTTACAAACTTCATATTATTCTGCAGAATATACAACACATCACAACTGTTCTCACACCTCATCTCCCAATCTTCAACAAAATATAACTCGGCTAACAACAATAATTTAACCTTTGGTGATTCTTGGTATGTACATTTCTGCCATTTATTAAATATAGCTTTAAGTGGAGATCCTTCTCTCTTTGACACCAGATGATCTCCTTTTTTGAATGGCTCCCAGAAGTTACAGATGATCAGAAAGAAGTAAAAATAGCAAACCCAGTTACACCGGAACTCCTAAAATCTAGGCTCGCCTTGACCTATGTCTGTGCCAGTCCTTGACTTCACTGCCATAAATAAGTATCTTTCCTGATACTAAATGAGTGGTTTAATTTGATCATTATTCTGATTTTACAGAAAAGGGGACAAGGCTGACTCAACAAATTGCTGCTCTGGTTCTTATAGTAATCATAATTAGTAAAGTATATGTCTAGGTTTTGTATTAATATACTTCTTGACTGGATGCTTCCCAAAAGTATCTTAATCCCAGAGCATGCAGGGTTTGGACCTGCTTATTCAACTATGGACCAGTACAGAATATTACATCATCTAGCCAAAACATACCATAACTTTCTAAAAGGTGGTCCTTGTGTGTTGCTTTCATAAATCCAGAAGTGCCCTTTTACTCTATACTACATGAGAAATTCTGAAGAAATTAGCTACAATATTGATTGATTTTTGTTTTCTTAAATTGGCAAAAATCATTACAATCAGATACCAATATACAAAGGAAATATTTTGCTATTATACAGTTTTAGCCTCATTGTTGTATAATCTATATATTAATTATATGGTGAAATACAAAAAATCTGTTTTCCAAACCAGAATTTCTCTATCTCTTGTCCATTGCTCTGTTTCTATTCTTCTCTATATCAAGTGGATGCCCTGACGCCTGTGTAGGTGCCTCAAAGCATCTTACTACTGACATAGGGAACAGACTGAAATCAATTTCTCTTTTAAAAAATCTTAATATTTTCCAGAAAGGATTTCAAGTCCCCAATTAGCCAAAAGGTTAACAAGTAGATCTAATGAGTTGTCATAACCTTTAAGTGTACAGGCATCCACTTTCAATCATCTCCTCACAGGATCAATCAAGTAAAAGATCTTTTTATAAGAGCCCAAACAACATGGTTTGCAATTATAAAATATACATTTCACACAGTAACAGCTCTGTACCAGCAACTGTCAGTTTATTTAAGGCTAAAGTGCTGGGCTCAATGTTACATGGGGCTTGGTTATAAATTTATAACGAAGTTTTTAGATTAGAGTTTATCCAATCCGCATTTTAAAGATAATAACATGCGTTCTTTAGTCCATTCTTAACTCCCTTAATTGACTAGAATTAGGCTGCATCTCCTTAGGAGCCTATTGAAGCTCTGTCACTTCAGATATGAGTTGAACGTAATATGGGGGAAGGAAACGTCTTTGGTCCACCTCATCTTACTAGATAGGTCTGAATCTTCCCTAAGAAGACAAATTCACTAAGAAGACAAATATTACTCTGGCTTTTCTAGCATTAGCTGGTCTTACCTTATAATGACATACATTACCCTTCAGTAGATGATCTGGGATCTAGATCTCCCAAAAGATAGTACCAGAGCTTCCCATTTCTATTACAACTCAGTAATCCACACCCATACCAACACACATGCTCCATTCCCAGATACTTTGTCAACATTTCATGAAGAAGAATCCTCACCTTGAAACAAATCAGTGAATTATCTAAAAGGGTGAACAATATCAGTATGACCTATAAAAATCATACTTGTAATATGATCTGGTATAGACGTAGAATCACATACACTGCCAGAATACCATTTATACAATAAATGGAGGAAAGTACTCATAACACCAATTGTTAGACATCTTAAATTGCTCTTCATCATTTTTCTCCTACACGATAAATATTTAGGTATTTGCAGTAACATTTCAAATGTGGAATTGATCTGGTACCTACTTTACATGAGCAACTGCTTAAGAATTTTTTGTATAAGTACAGTTTTATTACTTTGAGAAAAGTCCCCATGTAACAACAAAAGGAGCCCTGTTTTGCAGTGTTTAAAATGCAGCATTGCAGACAAATTCTGCCCACTGCCTGGAATTTGATCCCGATGGCGTTCAAGGTTGACTCAGACTTCCAAGGTCAGTAAAATGAGGACCCAGATATTTGCGAGCAATATGCTGACCTTGTAAACTGCCCAGGGAGTGCTGTAAAGCACTATGGGGCAATATATAAATCTAAGTGCTATTGCTATTGGTACTGCTCAACTTTTCCATGAAGATTTTTGATACAACTCCTATTTTTCAACAAGGTCACAGCATTTATGGAGGGAAGCTTTGCACCCCTAGTTCTGATTCCAACAAAATTCACATATATAAACTGCTCCTGTATCAATTTAATTCAAAGAAATGCAAAAATATACTTTATTTACGATGTATTTACTAGACTGAACTTCAGTAGCATGGAGTAACCACACTGGATGGAAATTATTGATATCCGGTATGGGGGTTCTTCCAACAACCAATTATACTTTGGGCAAATGTGGTTTGGGAATAAAAACTAACAGAAGGAGAGTACTGAAGATAGGGGAAACAGCAACAGTGCCAGGAATAATAAAAAGATAGCAAAAATCAATGGTTAGAACATGGAAAAAATAACATTTACAGTACGGCCCTCAGTGCAATGGACTCCCTCTCATCTCTGGGGGGCTGGCTGAAAGTGCTGCCTCCCCAGAGGAGATGAACTCTTTCAGCAGGATGTAGAAATAGAGGCAAAATACTGAAAGGTTTGGCTCCTTTTCTGCACTTTGCCAAAGAAGTTTCCTTGTGCGCATGGAAGGGGAGCTGATCTCCTTCAGCAGGCAGTTCTTTAAGCCAACCCAAAGAGATGAGAGGAAGCTGAAATGCAAGCAGATGAACAGAGAGTGGGCACAATAAAGATAAGGAGTACAGCGTTCCTCAGGTGGTTGGGGAATGTCCTGGGATGTCCAGCACAGGTCACTCACAATCTTTGTTCAGGGGCTGAAAAACCTGCTTGGATTTTGATAGGGAGGATTTTCAGCTCTTGAGCAGAGAGGCATCACAGTAAGAAAAAGTGCATGAGATGAGTCAGGGGTGTGAGGGAAGCCCTGGGAGGGCCAACACAGGCTGCGTGTAAGTGTCTCTCTGCTAAGGAGCTACGATTCCTGCTTAGATTTCAACAGGGAACATTTCAGCTCCTGAGCAGAGCCTCCCAGGGTTTGCATTCCCAGCCCCCAAGGCACTTCTCCATTCGCACTCCTTACCTGGGTCTCCATCCACTTAATGACCTGAATGATCTCTTAATGACCACAATTGAAAGTGCTGGGATTGGGACTGTTAAGCAAAGCAGTCACATGATGTCTCACTTAACAACCACTTTGCTCAAGGATTGAGTTTCCGGTTCCCAATTGTGGTCATAGGTTGAGAATTACCTATGTGTAAGGAAAAAAGGATTCTGTACTCATTCATACATTCTTACATCCATGATGGAAGATGTGCCATCCGAGACATGGCATAATACTACAGGCATCCTTAACCTAAAAAGATTGACTGCATCTATGCTAAACTACTTCAGGAAATACAAAGATCTTACTAGCGTGATCAGCATTTCAAAATAAAGTAGTATGCTTCAAGAGATACATGCCTATTTTTTTATCTTAATTTTTACCTTATGAGAAATATACATGCTTATGAATGCTTATGAACTAAAACAAATTCTAAAATACATCTTGCCATTTCAAGAACAGGATTTTAGATAGAAAATTAAGAAATGATCATGGAAATACAGTTAAGTTTCATTTTATAATTGCAGTACAACTCTAAATTCTTAACAAAATATGACTATTCTTTTAGCAGAATTTCTAGTGTTCAAAATATATGTATCATTATGAATATTTTGATTTTGTATTTCTTTGCAATTATTGTAATCCTAGCTCTGTATGAAATTTGGCAATATGCATCTCAGCATGTATATGTTTTTCCTTTGCAAGTGAAATAAATAACAAAACTTACCAACACAAGCATTGAGAAACAACCAGTCAGTCTTCTTCATTCTGTTTTTTATTTGTTTTAGTTTTTTAAAATCAACTTCAAGTTCTTCTTTGCTGCCAACAGCTCCAGCCACTTCAATTCTCTGAAAGTCCATTTTCACTTCAGATTCTCGTTTAGCGGTGGGAGGTGACCTTCTTTGGCTATTTCCACTACTGCAGCTTCCTCTCCAACGAGTTCTTTCTTGCTCATTTATTATGGAAGAAGCCTGTTCTGTTTCTGCTAGTTCTATTGCTTCAATGTTGTTGGGCCGTGGGTGATCACAGACAACACATTTTCTGGCCTTAGCCCAATTCTCATATGTACAAACAGAACAAGTCCAGTGTTGTGTCCTTATGTTCAATTTATTTCTATCATTGTATTCCTCACAAGGATCCACAGAAAAAGAAGCTGGTCTTGTACCAGATCCTGAAGACTGGGGGGATTCTGTGGGGCTTCTGGTCCTACGCTGAGACAAGCACTGAGTACACCTTATTGCACGAGGCCAGTTCAAGTAAGTACACATTTGACATGACCATTTATTTGCACTTTCGACATTGTAAGATGACTTAACTCTTGGTCTTGCACTAGAATCTGGACATATCAAAGGACTGCTGCCTCCTTCAATACCTGCAGGATCCCAGTCTCTACCAACATCACTTGAAGTACTTTTAAATGGATCTTCTGTGATAATAGTTCCGCTAGGTCTCTGAGCACGACACATGGTACACTTGATCGCAGATGGCCAGTTTTCATATGTACAATACTCACAAGCCCATTTTATTCCACGATCAGTCATCCTGCACTCTTTGAAGTAAATTGTTTCAGCAAGAAATCTTTAAAGAGAGAGTAAATAGAATAAATTATAAAAAACCCACTCTTAGCTCTTTAAAAGAATTGCTAATCACAAAGCTTCTATCTAATCCAGATCTAATACTAAATCATAGCATACTATAACAAGCATCAATTCAAACATTACTTCCCTTTTCTTTTCTTACGTTCAATTTTTTAATTAACCATAGTACTTTATAAAATAAAGTGACATGCTGCATATCAGGAATTTGGTCATTTAAAGTCACATTAGTCATAAAGTCACATTAAGATTTATGACAACCATGCTCATTTTATATATGTGTGTGTGAGCGCGCGAACACACACAATTCCCAATGAAATTTAGATACTGCCAGTATTATAGAAGTCCTCCCAAACATCAAATTACAAACTTATTATACAATTAAAATATATACATCAAACGAATTTGTGTATTTACTTTTCTATAATGAAGTCTATTTCGTCTCCATGCTGTCTCAGATTTTATCCACTTCAGCAGGAACTACCAAGAATGACCATCAGCACTATGAAACGGTTTTTCCTGTAAACAATATGAATTTTTGTTAAAATCTTATTTTTACATATATAAATATACTGGACACATTCTAACTCAGTATGTTCGAATATTAAATTTTGACAAATCCTGTAATAAATTTGTGAATAAAAATAGAATAAAACAGCAGCAAATCTGTAAATGCCTATAGCACTCGCTGCCGTTTATCTTTGATATAGGCTTATGAAAAGTATTTGGAAAACATAAACAAAGCATAAACAAAGCAGCTCACTTCTAACTGCCAAAGCACTAACATCTTTTACAAGTTGTTTCAATATTTTTGTTAGTTTATATATATAGTCATCCATTTTATATAGAACTCTGCACGGCTACTTTGCTATCTGGCCCATTTGTCACATTATCAGATTCAGATTAATTGAAAAAGCACTTCTATACTACCAAATGCTGCTGAACAAGAAGATGAATTTGCTACCTGGATGTTTTTTGTTGAGAAATATATATGCTTTGAAAACTACATTTAGTGGTGAGATAAAGTTTGTAACCCTTTTAAAAATACCTATAAATTGTGTGATTAGAGTTTCATTAAAGTTAAACAGGTTCTGATCAACATTCATGGTCATCGTTGAGAAAAGTATATGAAGCCTCAGATTTAATTTTAGCAGAGCTCTTTTAGCAGAGCTGATTTCAACAATATGTTTCCAATATTCTTGCTTAATCCGATTCATCAGCTTGGAAGTATTTTCACCCATTTTATTTTACAAAACTATTTCAATTTTTCCCATTGTATCTTTGTATTTCTATGAACTATTTATTTCAAGTCATGCCTTCATGCCACATTATTTTAATTTGTTTAATATCAAGGCTTGATTATTCAAAAATGCAAGATTTCTTCTCCTTAAGCCAATGCTTGTTGGTTTAGAATTGCTCTTGAACTGCATGACTCACTTTCATTTACACTTTAGTCGACTGATGGATACTTTGAAATTCTTCTGTAGAATTTGCTGGTACAATCCAGAATCCACTGTTCCGTCAATGCTTGCAAGCCAAACCAGCCCATGCTAAAATGGTGTTTGTTAAGCAGAATCTTTTTACCTGTTTAAAAGAATTAGATGGAGTTCTTGTAGGTCACTGATGTGCAAACTTACAGATAGCGGTCATACACTTTCTCTCACCACTATAATCTTGCTAGCCTTCAAACATACAAGTGAATTATCTTCTATATAAATATTAAGCAAAAGAATCCAATGTAGATTTATAACACATACTAAGTTAATCAAGTGCTTCAAAGAATACTTGGAGAGGGAGGGGAGAATGTAACTCACTAGAAGTTACTAAACTGTTCCAGAAAAGCATTTTTTTCTTTTCTCATAAACATTTATTTCCAAAATCTTAGTTTTAATCTCCATATTGACTGCAGCATTTTACTAACCACCTCTCTTTATTAGTTTGAATATTATTATTTTTTTCATATGATTAATTTTAAATCACAATGAGCTTTTTATTTTGAATCAAAAGGGATAAATATTTACAATAAATGCATACTGTCACAACCAACTGTATATGTTATATATTTACTTAATGGAATTGAGGTAGTATATTTGTTCAATGTTAAGAAGCACTTATCTCAATTAATTGGATTTGGAGCAGACGCGGTGGCTGTAGCTAACTGAATTTGGCTGAACCCAAAAAATTAAGTGTATTCAGACCTGGTTTCACTTTAGCTGAGTGATTACCAAAAAATCCCAGGGTTGTAATCTAGGGTGAAATTTAAAAAAACAAGAAGAAAGTAATGAAAATGTAGTTATTATTATCAAGAAAACTACATAGATATATCCACAAACTCATTAGGAGCTGAATTAAACAAGATTTGTGTTTATGTGTCTTTTAACATGGCAATGATATGAATACATGGAGATGAAAAATAAAGTACATATAACCCCTAAAAGGGATTTTTCTATTTGATACATTTAATTTCAATGATGAACACAGCTCTAGGCAGTCTACATATCAAGATTAAAAAAAATAGAAAAAGATGATCACATTATCATCATCACAATAAACAACAAAGAATAAGTAAAGAACAGTCTAATGAAATTATGTTCCTTTTTCAAAATGTAAACTAAACAATCAATTGATATTTGATTTGTATGTCTGGTATCAAACTTTTATAACACTATGGCCAATCCCTTGACATAAATAATATTTTTGCCATTTGCTTTAGTATTACACTTCGATTGACTCATACTCTGGATAAAATTCAGCAGGTTTATTTCAAATGTGCTTCAGAATTAAAGACTTACTAACATTAATCATTAATCTGTCACAGAAGTTGTAATGCTAACTAGAGTTAAGGCTGAAAAAGGAAGAGAAAGGGGAAATTCACAAAAGATAAAAAAGTGAATGAATTTAGCATATTTAAGGGTAGTTCTTGATTTGCAGAGTAATAATATTTTATTTATTTTCTTCAAAGATTTATATAGTCACCCCTCATATCAAAATCTAGGTGGCTCCAAATCACTTTGTAAAGAGCCAACAATCTTTCTGCTCAAATCTCAATACAATTGAGCTGAACATGAACTACATTTATCATGAAAAATAGTCACTGTTATATTGGTATTATATTGTAAATAATTTCTTTAAAACTTTATCAAATCAAGGTTCTAAATAGTAGCAATAATATATTAATTACATGATATCCTAGTATAACAGAACAATGAATGACTTTGAAGATCAATGTGCAATATTACACATTCTGAACATTCTAGAGACTGACTTTTAAAACTCTAGAATCTTAACAAGAGGAACAGAGATGTCATGAATGTTGTATGTGATAAAACATCTGGAAGCAGTAGAATAAAGCCTTTTTTGAAACTATTAACAATTTAAAATATACTTCTATAGTAGAATAATAAAAGTAAATAATCATCTTTAATGGTTTGAAAGTTGTTTATAAGTACCTAAACTTGAAAATGACAGAGAAAATAAGCCACTCATTTAAAGACTTATGTATACTGAAATTAAGAACAGATATTCTTATAGAAAACTGTTTGTAAACAAAAGCAGACTTCATACAGTTGACTTAATTTAAATGGCTCAATCACTGATGGATTATCCTCTGAGTATCTCCTTCCTCCCAGGTATTCAAACAACAAAAGCAGTGCAGCTTCTCCCCTCCTCCAGCTTACATTATTATAGCCACAGTCACACTCAGGACTTGTGAATAAATGACTCCAACAGGGCTCAAATAACATATTATGTTCTAACAGAATTGCACTGAGATATACTAACACACATCCCATTAAGCATATATGTAGTTCACTTGTTTTTGACCTAAAATGATGTGTGAACACTGCCAATTGTGAAAAAGATAATTAAATACAAAAAATGAACAAATCTGTTATTTTTTTTAAAAAAAACATGATTTTCTATACACATTTAAAGAAAAGATGAGTTATATTATATATATTTATATTCAATCCAAACATGAAATTGCCGATTCAGAGAAAGCATGTGATAAAATGAATAGCCTTGAAGTATTACATTTTTTGCAAACATGGTGTAGAAGATTGTTTGCTGAATACAGTAATAGCAGTATTTATGTGATGAAAGTAAAGCATGTGTACAAATAAATTGAATTCTCGGCAAATGGCTCAACAAGTTTAAGTCAAGCATCTGTGGCATTCCCTTGTTTAATGTATTAACAGTGAAATGTACAAGGAATGCTTTCAAATGGATTTAGAACTGGATGAAAAATTATATCCAATGAGCATACATCAGCATCTCCACATCCAGTAGAAGAGAAGTGTCAAATGGAGAACTATAAAGCTCCATTATCTAATAAACTTTAGGCAGATAAAGAAAACATCAAATTTACAAGATCATACAAAAGACATAATAAATAAGTTAGAGGACAGAAATAGGATTAAGAGTGCCTTTACAAGCTGAAACAATGGGTAAAAACCAACAAGATGAACACCAACAAAGAGAAACACAAAGCTAAACTTGGATAGGAAAAATCAAGGTCATGGGAGGGGGGGAACCATATTAGGCACTGGTACTTGCAAAAAAAGATTTAGTTTTCTTGGCAGATCACAAACTGAATATCAGCTATAGAATAATGCAATTCCCAAAAAAGCAAATGCAGTCTTAAACTACATCAGAGTTACAGTCTATTCCTCCCTATTCTGAAGTAAACAGTCTACACCTAGAATACTGTATTCAGTTCTGAACAACCATTTTAAAAAGGAACAGACAAACTGGATTGTGTCCAAAGTAAGATTAAAAGGGTCCTGGAAGTAAATACTTGGGGAATGGTTGGAGATATGGATATATTTAGGCTAGAGAAGAAAAGACAGCTGTGTTCAAGTATCCAAAGGGCTGTCATGTTAGAAGAGAGGGAAGAATTCTTCAGAGTTCTTGTAGAAGAAAGAACAAGAAAATATGTAAAACTCAAAAGAGGTTGGATCTTTCAGAAAGACAACAATCAGAAAAATAGCTAAGGATTAAATATGAAATACTTACAGGAAAGAGAAATAAAGGTTTTGGAATGGCCTTTGCAGTCCCCAGACTTAAATATTATTGAAAATTTGAGGAGAGATTTCAAACATTCAATACATGCAAGACCCAAGAATGTTTCTGAGCTTGAAGAATTCTGCAAAGAAGAGTAGGAAAAAATTCCCAAAACATTATTAAAGGTTTAGAAGTTATTATAGTAACTAGTAACATAGTAACATAGTAGAAGAAACGTTGTCTAAAGGTCTGGGCTTGCCACATTCATTGTTTGCTGGTTTAACATCTTCCATATCAGTTCTGGGCACACAGGGACCCAAGGTACAGGAAGTGGAGCATGGGGAAGACCTTGCGAGGGCCAGAGCCTCCAATGCCTCCACCAACTAGAAGGCATCCCATGCTCCACTTAATGACCCACATGTTAATTTAATCTTTCATTGGGGAGAGCAGGGATGGCAAGGTTGTTAGGTAACGATTGCTGCAACATGCAACTATAATGGACAGGCTCCATTACAGTCATATTTCAAGGACTACCTGTACACTGGTTTACATTCTGTTTTATTTCTACATTGACCAACAAAACAAATGCAATATTATAAAGATAATAAATCTGTAATGTTCTCCTTTCAAAACAAGATGAAAACCAGTAGTACTGCAACCAAAATGTCTCACAAAGATGGAGAATATTTCATTAAATTAATTTTTCAATCAAAAGCAATCAACAAAGTAATTATCTGATCACTAGAAACAGCATATTCAAATTGTTGCAGACTGGTGGTTTTACTGCATGGAATGCTTCTTGAAATTTATAAAACAAATAACCTATGCATGAATATGTATCAAACTTTTCTTATTAAGCTACCAGTCAATCCTCACATTGTTTATACTTACATTGTAGTTTGAAAAGGCAAAATGGAATGTATTTAGTTTTGGCAGCCTTATATAGACCAAAATATAATCCTTTGCACATTTGTTTGAGAATAAGCCTATTAAACTCAGTACGAGATGCTTCTAAGCAAGTATGCAACTGTTCAAAAATATGTTGGATATTTAATAATGTTCTAGGGAACAGATAGACTAACTTTATAAATGGAGTTTCTTTGTTTTGGTACAAAATTTGCAAATATGTCTGTAATATATTCTACCACATATTTTAGATATGAGTGGAACAAATTCACAATCATACCAGTCTACTCTATCTGAAATATAAAATATTTAACAACAAAGAATCATCAACCAGAATCGAGACATTGGATTGATACTGATAATAAATGGAAATATTTTTATGCGAGTAAGTGAGAATTCCATGAAGTGAATCAAGATAAAAATGGTGAAAATATTAAGGGAAATAGCATATTTTAGTATAAGGAGGGACAAGGGGGAAGCACTAGTCATTTTTTTAAATAAAGACAGTACATTTACAGATTATTTAAAATATATTTATCATCAGTATCAAAAGTATAAATATTTGAAAGTATATAATGGAAGTTGTAACACCTTTCCTCCTCATAGTAAACCACTACTTAAATTAGACTATGACTTCAAAAATACTCTATAATGTAATAAGAACCTGAAACTAAAAAAGTGCAAAACTGTGAGCACAGAAACATTTCCATCTGTCTGAGACTTCTTCAAATAAAACCAATTTTAAAATTAATAATTATTGCTTAACCATGCACCAATGCAAAGCTCTCTATGAAACTTATCTTAAAATACAATTCTCTCCTATTAGATTAATTATAGTCATATTAAACAGTACCTCAGTATATTATCCTACTTTTCATGTTAAAACTGAAAGATAAAACTAGTGATACAATATTTTTAACTTTTCCATCACTGCAATTTTCATGTAAATTAAAACCACTGCTGAGAAAATAGGTTTCAGGTCTTTTCCACTTAAATCTGTTCCATTTCTTTGTTCTATCAATTTCTAACTTTAATCTTCTGCTTTCCTAAGTAGTACTGTTTATTTTTGCTTCTCTGCCTTCCAAGAGATTTGTGACTTCTGAAACACATTGGCAACATAGATGACTTACTTTGTGATTATTTTTTTTTCCCAGAGGGATCAATCTCCATTACTGCTTTTGTCCCATGAAGCCTTTGCATTATATCAAATAGTAGTCTAGTTTTAACAAACTTATTTATCTACTTCTAAATTTACTAAACAGCATAAAAATCTCCTCAAATAAAATTAAAGGAAATACAGATCACACGTTAAGCCTTTCAAAGAAGTCTTTTAAAAGCCATTTCTCTGTATAATTCAAAAGGTTATACACATACTGTCCTTGACATTACTATTTTATGATTTGCTGAACATAGCAACTGGTTCTTATGTATTTTATGACTATGTTGCATTTTTAACTCACTCAGGGCTAAAACTTATGTTAATTTTGTCGAAGTCCACCAACAATTATGTAAACAAATGTAAGCCTATGCTACTAATGATATGTTAATACAATGCACTATTTTACTTTTCATTTGATATGCTAAAATGTCCCATCCAGTACTTGGTTGTTTTTTGGGATTTCATGAGAGCGTATTTATAATTTATTATGGATTGACTTTTTTTTTATGAATGTTTTTAAATGGGTATTGTTGTATGTTTATAGGATGTTTTCATTATTTATTTGTAACCCGCCTTTATTATTTTTAGAAATAACTCAAGGCAGTAAACGTATCCAACACACCTTCCTCCTCCTATTTTCCCCACAACCACCACCCTGTGAAGTCTCTGTATTGAGATGGGGGTTGTATTTCTGGAACCTTTTAAATTATGTACTTCATATTGTTACAGTATGTAGGTAAGATGCATTTGTGGGATCCAAGCAACTAACTGTATATTTGCAGTTAGTGCTAGTGGGATGTAGAAATATAGGTGACCCATCAGATGCGGCAGAAAGGATATGTTGCAGCTCCCCTCTATGAGAGAATGTCATCCAATCATTGTGTTTTAATTCCATTGGCATCCTTCAGTCTCGAAAGACTATGGTATCGTGCTCTGGAAAGAGGTCCTAAAACAGCATCTTGTGTGACTAAAAAGGCCAATTCGAGAGTGGCAATCCCTTCCACACTGAGGGCAGATACTTATGGACAGTTTTAGCAAGGCCTGCCAAGACTTTGGACTAACAATCAGCCTGAAAAAAACACAAGTCATGGGTCAGGACGTGGATTCACCTCCCTGTATTACAATCTCTGCACAAGAACTGGAAGTCATCCATGACTTTGTGTATCTCAGTTCAACTATCTCTGACACTCTTTCTTTAGATACTGAGCTGAATAAATGTATTGGTAAAGTGACCACCACATTTTGCAGACTTACAAAGAGAGTATGGCTTAATAAGAAGCTGACGGAACATACAAAGATCCAGGTCTATAGAGCCTGCGTCCTGAGCACTCTCTTGTACTGCAGTGAGTCTTGGACCCTTTTACACATGGCAGCAGAGAAAGTTGAACACCTTTCATATGCGCTGTCTCCGACGTATTCTTGGCATCACCTGGCAGGACAAAGTTCCAAATAGCGCAGTCTTGGAACGTGCTGGAATTTCTAGCATGTATACACTATTGAAACAGCGACGTCTACGCTGGCTTGGGCATGTCGTGAGAATGGCTGATGGTCGGATTCTGAAAGATTCTCCTGTATGGAGAATTAGTGCAGGGAAAGCGCCTCAGAGGGAGACCACAGCTGCGATATAAGGATATCTGCAAGAGGGACCTAAAGGCCCTGGGAATGGACATTAACAACTGGGAAACCTTGACCTCTGATCGTTCAGCTGGAGGCTAAAGACGCAGCATGGCCTTCTCCAATTCGAAGAGACACTTGTTCAGCAGGCTGAGGCAAAGAGGCAATCCTGGAACCAGCGAAATCTGGGGGCTGGGCAGGGGACAGATGGATCTGCCCTCCGTGTTTTAATTATTGTTTCATTTATTTTGGTTGGTTTCATGCTGCCTTCTGGATTTTTAACTTTGTAAGTCATCCAGAGTCACAGTAACGGACAGAGCTATTAAATAAATAAAGTAACATTCTATACTTTACAGCTAAAGTCAAAAAGGTGTCTAGTGATTAAGGCACCAGGTTAGAAAGCAGGAGACTATGATCTCAAGTCTCGCCTTAGCCATAAAAGCCAGCTGAGTGACTCTGGGCCACTCATTCTTTCTCAGCACAACCAGGGTGGATTTGATTTAAATCGAGTTGATTTAAATCACAATTTAAATCATGATTTAAATCACTAGTAAAAAGGCTTGATTTAAATCAACTCGATTTAAATCATAATTTTTAAAGAGCAACTGTCATCTCTGCTACTCCTTTGACCCACTGTTGACTCACCGATAGTCCCAGTGTTGCAGAATATACAGCCTCATGCTACATAACTAAGCTCCATTACATGCTGAATAAACTAAATTATTTATGTATCTTAAATAGAAAACTATCTTACGATAGATTTTTACCCCAAAAGTTTTTTATTAAAATAAATTCGATAAAAATAAAAAAATCTGATTTAAATTAAAAAATTCTGATTTTTTTGATTTTTTTAAAAAAATCATTGATTTTTATCCACCCTGAGCACAACCAATCTCACAGGTTTGTTGTCCAGAAAATAGTGGAGGAAGGAGTTATTACATATGTTTATCACCTTGAGATAGATATAAAAATAATAAAGATGGGATATAATAGTCAGGTTGGGAAGCACCCAGCCTGGTACGGAGAAGACCTCAAGCATGAAGTTATCCTAGAGTCACTGTGCAACTGCAAAAAAGTTAGAACTAACTCCCTGTGCCCCCACAAGTTCCTTGGAGCCTTATCTATTTGTTCCCAAGGGTAGGCTGCTAGACTGGGGGATTCCTGCATTATGGTTAGAATATAATAAAGTAGTTAGCTTGAACTACTCATATATGGATCTGATTGTTCATGCCTGATAAAGCTTGGGAAAACACTGATTTGGTAGTCATGCACTCTGGGGAAAACATGTTTGAATTAAGGCCACTAGCATATCTATACCTCCTACAACTTGTCACACCCAATGATAGTTAAATTCCTTCAGGAGTTAAAGAACTTAACTCAACCACATAGCTTAGCTACATTTATCTCAGGAGGGGAAAATACTTCTACAAGAAGACACTGATAGGTGCATTAAGTAACCCGTAATGTTTTTAATGGGCAAATGAAATGCAGGAAAAAAAATAATCTTCACACCTTGACAAACAAAAACTGCATATGTTAATGACAATTCTTTAGGTTTCCATTACAGCTATGTGTACTAATCAAGATGGCACCATATTTAATGCAAAAATCAATTTATGAGAACTTTTTATCATTATACTCTTTTCTAGGTTCTGCCACAGAGCAAACAGCATTTGGAATGCAGTCAAACTTCTCAAAATGTGACCATTTGATAGAAGTTAGTATAATTGCTACTCAGAAAAATCCCAAATCCCACGGGCATACTTAATGATGGTATATCTCTGAGGACTAGGGTAATTTGGAATAATTCTTCTCATTAAACAGCTATAGCAAATACATACATCAGGATTAACACATACCAATATAGTCATTTCTTTCTACCATGAATGGCAAACCAGAATTATCACTTCCTTCCTTTTCATAAACAAGGACATGAATAAGTGCTAACTTAACATGAATAACACAGTCTTCACCACTACTATTCTGAACTTGTATTGTGGTACTTTAAACTTTAGAATAAAAATACTGAACTTAAGACATGAACTTAATTAACACACATTCATTAGTTGCAACAGTATCTGTCACTAGGCACATATGGTTGAACACAAACATTAAGTCTACTGAAGCTACAATGTACAGGTAACCCGTGTTTAGTGATCATTCAAAGTTACAATGTTCAAAGGAACTAAAAAAAAGTGATTTATGACTGTTTTTCATACTTATAACCACTGCAGCATCCTCAAGGTCATGTGTTCAAAATTAAGAGGCTTGGCAACTGAGTCATATTTATGATGGTTACAGTGCCCCAGGTCATGTAATCACCTTTTGTGACCTTTTGACAAGCAAAGTCAATGGAGAAGCCAGATTCATTTAACAACCAAGTTACTGACTTAACAACTACATTGATTCACTTAACAACTGTGGCAAGAAAGATCGTAAAACTCACTTAACTATCTTGCTTAGCAGCAGAGCTGTTGAGCTGTTATGGTCATAAGTCAAGGACTACCTGTATTAGGCTTTAGGTTTCTCAAAGCAAAGCTTTTGGGATAGTTTTAGTTCAATCAGAAAAATATATTGGAAATGGATGCTTTTATTATTGTATCACTTAAAATAGGTTTTAAGTATTGCAGTGTGAACCTATCATCCCAATGTTATTTGTTCTGTGCCAATTGCCCATACCTCTCAAAACTCAATTTAGGTGCTCATTCCCATTTCTAAAACCTTAAAGAGCAATTAACCAAAGTGCAGGGCTGATTTGTTTCTGGCCTCAACAATGCCAAAGCTCTGCTTATAGAGGCATGCACAGTCCAAACATTAAATATTTCAGATGTCAAGATCTGGTTCTCTAAGGAGTTCTTTGGAATGAATTACAAGCTGCCCATTATGATTACTTTTCTTTTTCTTTCTTTGGTGGAGATTGCTTTTCCTTGCCATTTGTTAGTGAAAAATACTGTATGGTTATTTTTCCTTTTAAGCTATTCTTTTATTATGAGCCACGATGGCAATGGTTAGAGTGCAGTACTGCAGACTACTTCTGCTGCCTGCCAGCTGCCTGCAATTTGGCAGTTCAAATCTCACCAGTCTCAAGGTTGACTCAGCCTTCCATCCTTTGGAGGTCGGTAAAATGAGGACCCAAATTGTTGGGGGCAATATGCTGATTCTGTAAACCACTTAGAAAGGGCTATAAAGCACTATAAAGCAGTATATAAGTCTAAGTGCTATTGCCATTATTTATATAACATTATTGTTTTTATTTGCATTTCATACCGTGTTTCCTTGAAAATAAGACACTGTCTTATATTTTTTTGAACCCTGAAATAAGCACTTGGCCTTATTGCCATGCGCTCAAAAGCCTGATTGGGCTTATTATCAGGGGATCTTATTTTGATAGAAACAGGGTATTATATTATAGCCCATTCTGATTTCTCTTTGGATGAGTAGCTTTGCTCCTATAAAAATTATTTCCAATGAATTTTAGGGCAAAAAATAAATAGCAAATAAAAATAATTTTAAAAGTTTGGTTCTGGTATAATAAATTATGATGTTTACTTATTACTTTGTGATTTCAATGTACTAGGATTCCACAACATCTTATTACAGGTATCAGGAACCTTCCCAGCTGATGGATACTACTGCATAATTTCATTGAATTTGACAGGTTCCTAAATAATTTGAATAATGAAAATATAAAATAAATTAAAAGGCTATAAATGTCAAGATCTTATGATATTTCACATAGAAATACAAATATCCTGGGAAACTGGTATTTTCAGTAAATCAGTGGATGTCATCTATTGTCATTGTGAGCATCTCAGAATCAGTGGGTATCAAAATGCAAACTCCCAATTAAATAGAAGTTCATAAGCAGAGTCATCTGCAAAACAAAAATTAAAAAAGAAACTCCCTGAATAGATTAAAACAGAAAGTTTTATAATTGTAAGAAATAAAATATTTTAAATGGTAAAACTATAATTGAATAATTGCTATTATTTAATGGCACTAAATTATGCTCACTTGTATCCTTCCACGAATATAAGAGATAAATATTGCCTCCAGAATCACAGAATGTATGAAGTAAGAAGCATGCATCAGTTATGTCATCTCCCATGAGTTTGAGGAGAGGTATCTCTTAAATTATAAGAACATTCATACAACTACAGAACCCTACAATTGTATCCAAACTACATTTTGGTCATTCTGCTTATCCAAACTTCTGTACTGATGGCTAAGACAAAGAGATTGCCTTATATAACAAGTTTTAGATAACATGCTGAGATTGCTATTAAAATGCCAGAAAATATATAAGAGTAAAAAAGAAAATACACAAAATAACATACATTCTCAAACAAACAAAACCAGCATGGGAAACATGTAAACTTCGGAAAGTGTTATCTGTAGTAGTCCAGGCATTCCCTAAAGTGACTTGGATGACCTCTAAAAAAAACCCCTTTGTTGCAATATTAGAAGAACCTTAGTGGTTTTTTTTTAAGCTTGAACTTATTAGTACAAATTCTCATACCGGCCTGATGCGGTTTGTAAACATGAACAAATCAAAGATCTATCCTATTTTTTTTATATAATAATAAAAAAAAACTCCTTGACTGCACAAAGTAATCTCAATGTCACTTTTAAGCAATGATAAAGATTGTAACCTCTGTACCTTACAAATCCAGCGTTTATAGCAAGCTGTTTTGCAATATATATAGACAGGCACGGGTTATAGCTATTTGAATAACGACAGAGGAGGGGGGGGGGAACAGCAGAGGTATGACCTCACTGTAGTAAGAAGTAGATACTGCAGCACTGAAGGTAGATAACTAAGAATTAGAAAGACACCTGTCTTCCCCTGCGTTTGGAAAAATGCTATTTATATTAAAGCTTGGACACCACAAAGGCCCCCAGGGTATTTCACAAGCAGCATTAATCCAAGCATTGTGGTACTAAATTCCCTCTTTAAATAACAGAAGCGACGCTACCAAGGCAGAGAGCGCACTGTCCATCAGAAAACACACACACACACACACAACACACACGGGGAGGTAAACAAAACAAGAGTTACACTATCCAGTGGCTTCCCAAAAGCCTCAGAGGCAAAGAGTTGTGTGACTCAGGACACATGATCTGGAAACATATAATATTTAAAGCCAACTCTGTCGCTAGCAACCACCAAAGGGTGGAATGCCTAGTAAACAACCGAGTTGCAACAGAATCCATCCCTCCCCAGCAGGTGCCGGGAGATCCCGGAAAGCGGGGGGGGGGGAGCGGGGGCACCCACGACTAAGCGATCCCGACCTCGCTCTTTTTTTTTTCTTCCCTCAGAGGGACCTCAAGTCAAATCCACACCGTAGTAGGAAGTTTTAGAAACATCCCACGGCTCTCGCTCTCCTCGGCGCCCTTCGAAAGCTTGACGGGCGAGCAAATAAAATACGGCGCCGAGACAGGACCCGAAAGAAATTATTTTCGGACGAGCTTTAAACAAAACGTAATCTTTTTTTGGGGGGGGGGGCTGTTGTTTGAGGGGGGGTATGATAAAGCCCCCCTCCCTCCCTCCCTGAGCAAGAAGGCCTTGGGACTTCTTCCCACTTCGGCAAGCCCAAGAGCGGACGAGCCTGTCAACGCGGGGAGGGGAGATACGAGAGAAAGGCCCGGGACTCAGGTAGGATCCAGGAAGAGAAGGAAACGAGAAGGAGCTGATCTGGCTCCCTCAAGGACCACCGGACCTTTCGCCTCGTCCGCTCCTCTCCTCCTTCCAAGGAGAAACTCCGTATAGCCTTGGTCCAAAAACTGCCTTACGTTCAAACCTGGACCGAGGGGCGGAGGGGGGGTGATTTAAAAGAAGGGTTCATCCCGAGACGATTTTTTTCCCAAGTTCCGAAAGGCTGGTAAAAAGCATTATTATATCCCTCCCCATCGCAGAGCGCCCGAGGAAAGGGAAGGGAGGCTTTTCCGTACCTTGCAAGGCTGTTCCTGGATCCCGCGAACCGTCTCCTCAGCAGCTGGCGCCTATCCCCCTCATCCACATCCCACCCACCCATGCACTGCGCCGTACCGCAAGCTGCGGCTAGCTGCGGCCTCCTTGCTTTCTCCCCACCCCCCCTCCCCCGGCTCAGGACATGGTTTCTTCCTGGAGTGGCTCGAAGGACGTAATCAGTCGAAGGACGCTACCACCCAAACGGGAGGGGGGGTCAAAAGGACGAGCGAAGGCGATCCCGCCGCCCTGTAATCTATCCCCGCTCGCCTAATGGCGGCGGCTGGAGTGGCCCAAAGCAAAATAAACCCCCATACGGCAAAGTGACTGGAGCTCGCACGTCAGTCCGCCCGGCCTGCAGCCCTGCCGCGCTCTCATTCGCCAAGGAAGCACTGCCAGGCAGCCAATGGAAGAGCGTCTCATTGAAAACGAACAGCTGATGTCATGTCGTTCCAATTTGGCGGGGCGGGGGGGGGGGGCGCTGATTGTGAGGATGCTCGAGAACTCTAGCCTTACTCTCTTCTCCGGGCTTTTAAAAAGAGGGAAAGGGGAGACACACACCCGCACGCCTTTTCTACCCCTCTTTCTTGGGGCTCCAGAGCCCTGGCCGGACAACCTTCGGGGCTGGCAAGCAGCTTTTTCTACCGTTGCCTTTTCGGGTTTTGCGCCCTGAAAGAGAGAGAATCGCCTCCCACCCCTCTTCATGAACTGGTAGCTGCAGCGCTTATCAATTCAGAGCTCTCATTCCCTCCAGCCTTCTCCTTCCTGTTGCGGTCCTGACAGGTGCTTCTCATACTCTGATCCCTCCGCTTAATATTGTGTGTACAGAAGAGAGTAAGATTCACAATTCCGAATAGAATAGAATAGAATAGAATAGAATAGAATAGAATAGAATAGAAATAGAATAGAAATAGAATAGAATAGAATAGAATAGAATAGAATAGAATAGAATAGAATGCACCGCGCCGTACCCAATAGAATAGAATAGCTTTATTGTCACTTTGAATGTACACTAATTGGCATACATTAAAGTGAAATTTTGTTGCATACAGTGCTCAAAGGGTCACCACCTCCAATATATATTGCATAATATAACAGAAATAAATAAAAGATATAAATACAGAATTATGCACATACCCACATATATGTTACAGAGAAACAACAATCTAGTTCAGATGTATACCTGTACATGGCGAGAGAAATGAATCTTGCGAGTTTACCAGACGGATGGTATAGGGAACAAAGCTATTACAGAACTGAACAACCTGTCTTGCAGAATGCCCAATTTCTGGGCTTTGGGCTGGCGGTTAAGGTATCAGACCAATAACTGAGAGACTGCGTTCTAATCCCGCCATGGATGCCAACTGAGTGACAATAGGCCTGTCCTCCTCTTTCAACCCTAAGAAGCAATGGCAAACCACTGCCAAAAACTTGCCAAGAAAGCTGCAGGAATTTCTCCAGGCAATTACCAGGAGTCGACACTAACTTGAAGGCCTATAGAGGTAATCTTTGAACTTAACAACAGTTCATTTAGTGATCGAAGTTACCACGGCACTGAAAATAGTGACTTACGACCATTTTTCACACTGATGACTATTGCAGAATCCCAGTGGTCATGTGATTTACATTCAGATGCTTGACAACTAACTCATTTATGACTGTTGCAGAGTTCAGGGGTCATATTGCAACCTTCTGACAAGCAAAGTCAATGGAGAACCCAGATTCACTTAACAGCCCTGTTACTGATTTAACACCTGCAGTGATTCACTTAACAAAGGTGGCAAGAAAAGTCGTAAAATGGGACAAATTCAGTTAACAAATTTTTCACTTAACAATATAAATTTTGGGCTCAATTGTGATCGTAAATTGAGGACTATCTGTACATAAAATTACCAAATATTTCTTATTGACAGTTATTAAGATTGCCCAAAGAGTTAAAAATTCCAGTCCCAAATAGGATGCTTCTGGCTTTATGACCAAATCCTGTAAGGACAATGGAATATGGGCAGCTAAACAATGGAAAAGGGATGGAGCGGAGGCTAGTGGTGCCCTAGATAAACTAAGACAGGGCAGCTTTCGCAATGAAGTGCAAAGCAAGATGCCTTTTTTGTCTTTCTCTTCCCCCTTGAACTTTGGATGGTTATTCTGAAACGGTATAATAGGTAAGTAAGGTAATGCCTATTTCCATTTCCCAGCTATGTCTGCCAAGGTCACAGTCAAACAGCATAAATCAGGCTAGTCTGTTACCATTATAAAGGACAGGTGGAAACTTTCCCCACTCAAGGGATTCTTTTGGCTCATTGCATCAAACCAAGGGGAGGAAAACAAACAAGAATTTTAACTTTGGTTTCCTATAAATTGAGCCTCCATTTGACGCATAGTAATCACTGGAATTATTTTGTCATTTTTAATTCCTTTTGCAATTAAACTTACTTATCAGAGACCTGTATCCGTGAATTCCTGCCTAAACTTGTCTCCAGATCTAGAGGTTGTTAAGAGAAGCCTGACAAAACACATGCCAGTTACAATTGAACTATGGCTCCCTAATAGTCTATATTTTTTGCTAATTGAAATATTAATATAAAATGTTAGTGCTATTGTAAACAGTATTCCAGTGCATTATAAGGTAAATTATTTTGATCCATTTAAATGAAGAAATAGGCAGAATATATTACAGATGAGCATTTGAATCCTTTACACTGTTGTAATCTTCTTGCTGCTACAATATATCCAGCAAGTAGTCTTTATGAGAAGAAAGCAAACAGTTATGTTGACTGGTTGCTAGAATCTCATGGTCACCAACCACAGCCAGAATCAAAATAATAGTGTAGGGATGACTTGTGTATACTAGGGTGATATAGAAATGTAGATTTTAAATTAGTACAGTATCTGTTAGGGATTCTAATTTACATGTAAATGTTGCTATTGATGAATTGGATAAACTTGCTGATATATTTACTATAAGGATTTATTTATTTATTTATTTATTTATTTATTAAAGTTATATCCCGCCCTTCCCCCCGAAGGGACTCAGGGCGGTGAACAGCCGAGAATTAAAATAACATACAATATAAAAGTTAAAATAATTAAAAATAAATTAAATTAAACGGCCACCCCAATTTAAAACCCCTAGCAATACAATTAAAAAATACCCCTAAAACCTATTCAGGCCAGGCTGGCTTGCTGAAATAAAAACGTCTTCAGGGCCTTATGGAAAGTGCAGAGATCCAGAATCAGCCGTATTCCGGGAGGTAGCTCGTTCCAGAGGGCGGGTGCTCCCCTCTGGGATAATTACTGTATCCCAGAAGATCATACTTTTCCAAAAATGCTCTCCTTCCACTACTTTCATGAAGCTGATCCATCTTTATTCTTTTCCTATAATGCTGAGATGAGGAACTTCCAACCGACAAACAAAATTTCATTGGACAGTCTTTCAAAGTCTCTGAACATGGGTCCATTCTGCTTTTGTGTTCTTTAAGGGTCTGCCCTTGGGTTGTTGTTTTTTTTAATATCCTCCCTTATAGATACATTATAATTTAAGTGTACACTTTGATTCTTCCTCTGCTTTGTGTTTGCATGTATTGTGAAGGTAACATGCAGTTACCTAGGAAACAACTGCTAAAAATCTAATATTTCTATCTCAAATTGACTTTTCTAAAATAGTCCCTCAAGTTCAGATCTTAATTGTCTGAATAGTTAATTTTATCTCATTATATCTCAGTTTATTATTCTGTTCATTCATTCCATTATTCATAGCTAAAATTTAGTTTCCTTTTTCTAATAATCCCATGTGTCCAAAATTTCAATATCAGTCTTATCTCTGAAGCAACTTCATTTACTTGCTACTTATTATGCAAATACAAGATGGGCACTTAAGCACCCCTATAAGACTACCCATCAACAAAGCATTTCTTTGGTTACAATATCCATACTTTCAAACCCCACTAAAAAAGGCACATTGGGCACACACAAAATTACTTTTGCTTATCAATCTGAAAAAGAAAATGACAAAGTGTTACATAGATCAAAGGAATCCATCCCATCTATAATTTCCTTTTCCATACTTTGGGCAGTAAGTCAGTCTGTGATTACAATCAGCACCAGACTCTAAAATAGCTACTCATTTGCAGCCAGATTGCCCATTCACACAAGGTATCTGCAATAAATCACAATCACAATTCTGACCCTGTGTTTTGCCAGGCATTGCTATTTCAAGACCCACTAATGCAACATCATTCAGAATATATATGAAGGATTCATTCTTCACATGTTGACTACCATCTGCCAAAAATGAATTTCCATATGCTAAATAAAAGAAACATCAATTTTGATTGAGAAAAATAATTTCTTTTAAAAGTTCAATAATATCAGACCTGACTCAAATCATTGTTTGATTCCATTATGCATGTTAATCCATGATGCTAAATTGTTTGTATAATAAATTCTTGTTTTATTTCACCTTTATACTAATTGTCCTGTGCTGTATTTTTGAATTTCAGTGTTATTTTATTTTTTTCTCAGTTATTCAATATGAGCAATTGTACATGGGGAGGGAATAATTTTATGTACCCGAAAAACTGGAAACTACTACAATATATGAAATAAATCCTACAGATTTAAATCTTTTTCTCTTGATTATTTTTCATTCTTTGCTTTTCTGTACTTTTCCATTCTTTCCAGTTTAGCTTGTTAGAACTTTGCTTTTTATCTTCTCTTTCTCTCATCTTTGACCTTTTCACGTTCTAGACACTGTTGAATGTGTTTCTTTTAATGTGATCATCATCTCTCTTAATACTTGAATACTTTATTTTCTAAATAAAGCTCTAGGAGGGGAAAACTTTTTCACTTGATTTTCCTGTTTGGACTTCCATTTGTTTAGAGGGTTGGTAATTCTTTTATACTTCAACAAAATTTGTAGTTATGTTACAGGATGGAATTAAAGAGAGGTTTCAACTTCTAAATGCAAGTTATATTAAACTGAATGGAAGCATCTGTTATTACACAACATAATTGTATTTAAAGTGTTTATAAAGCAGTGCTCTGTCTTTACATTCACAGGAAATGGTGATTTGAGTGGCCTAGACCAGGAACAAACACAATAAGGAGGGTGCACATTAGTAAGGATGTGGGAAAAATTCTTGCTAATTTAAATGCTTTCATGTCCCCGGATTCAATTAAAAATCTTTAGAATATTGAAGGAAGTTGCTGAAGAGCTGTCAGGATGTCTGAATTATCTTTGAGAGATCCTGAAGAAGGAACCTGAGGACTGGGAAAAAGAAAATGTGATTCCCCCACTTCAAAAAAAGAAGAGTATACCAGTAATAATTGATATGTAAC